CCCCCACTCTGGGGAAAAGACCTTGTCTATTTATCCTATCCATCCCCCTCATGATTTTACAAACTTCTGTAGGGTAACTTCTATAGGGTCACTCCTCAGCTTCCAATGCTCCATGTAAAATAATCCCGGCCTATTCAGCCTCTGCCTATAGCTCAAATCCTCCAACCGTGGCAACATGCTTGTAAATCTTTTCTGCGCTCTTTCCAGTTTCACTTCATCTTTCCAGTAGCCTTGAGAAGATGGTGGTGAGCTGCCTTCTTGAACCTCTGCAATACATGTGTTGTAGGTTGACCCACAGTCCCCTGAGGGAGGGAATTCGTGGATCTTGATCCAACCACATGCTAAATTGCCCGTAATGTTCAGGGATGTGTAGATTAGGTGTGTTATAGGGGGATGGGTCTGGGTGGGATGCTCTGAGGGTTGGTGTGAACTTGTTGGGCCAAAGGGCCTGTTTCCACCCTATAAGGATCTATGATCTACCGTGAAGGAATGGCGATATATTTCCGAGTCAGGATGGTGAGTGGCTTGGAGCGGAACTTGCAGGGGGTGATGTTACCGTTTATCTGCTGCCCCTTTGGATGGAAGTGGTCATGGATTTGGAAGGTGCTGTCTGAGGACTTTTGGTGAATTTCTGCAGTGCATCTTGTAGCTTGTACAGGCTTCTGCTACTAGGAGTGGATGTGGTGCTGAATCAGCATTGGAATTTCCTTCAGGTGCTGGTCCTAACTTTAGGGAAGGAGTCCCTATTAATAAATGTGTTAGTGGGAGAGCATTTTGGTAATAGTGACCATAATTCAGTAAGATTGAAGTTTCATGGAAAAAGGCCAGAGATGAACTGCAAGTCAACATTCAGAACTGGGTGAAGGCCAATTTTAATGAGATAAAACAGGCGTTGGGGAAAGTGGACTGGGAGCAGCTACTCTGGAAAATCTGATGGGAACCGATTGGAGCAGTGGGAATGTTTCTAAAAGGTAACTGTGAGCATGCAGGACCAACAAGTTCCAGTAAGGATGAAGTGGGAGTGAGCAAACAAATCCAGGGGAGCCTGGATAGTGGGGAATGCACGAGATTGGATATGGAAAAAAGAGAAAAGCTTATGGTTGATGTAGAGGGCTGAAAACAGCTGATATAGTTCAGTAGAATGGAAAGTTCCGGGAGTTACTTAAAAAAAAAAAATCAGGAGGGTGAAGAGGGGTATGAAAAAACATTGGTGGGTAAAATGAAGGAAAATCTGAAGGAATTTTATGAAGTGTCTCAGGGGCAATAGGACAAGCAGAAACAGAGTGGGTTCCGTTTGGGACTTAAATAGCTCACTGTATATATGGAAGATGTTGGTGAGATTTTAAATGCATATTTACAATTGCATTCACAATCGAGAAAGACAATGTAGGTATAGAAATCAGGGAAGAGGTCTGTGATACACTTGAACAAATTTGCATCGAGAGGGAGGAGATATTACTGATTTTAGCAGGTATGAAAATGGATAAGTACCTAGACCCAGATGAGATGCATCCCAGGCAGCTGTGGGAAGCAGGGGTTGAGATTGCAGTGCTCTGACATTAATTTCTACATCCTCTCGGGCAACAGGGAGACAGTTAATGTGGTCCCATTACTCAGGAGGAGCGGTAAGGATAAACCAGGAAACTGCAGAAGTCTAATATCAGTAATAGAGACCATTAGAAAAGAATTTGAGGAACAGATTTTATCTTCACTTGGAATCATAGAATCCCTACAGTGTGGAATCAGGCCATTCAGCCCACTGAATCGGGACTAACCCTCCAAAAAGCATCCCTCCCAGATGTGAGCCCTATTCTATCCTTGTAACCCTGTATTTCCCATGGCTAATCCACCCAGCCTGCACATGCTAAATTATGAGCAGTTTAGCCTGGTCAATTCACCTCTCTTGCTCACCTTTGGACTGTGGAAAGAAACTGGAGCACCCGGCGAAAACCCATACTGGGAAAATGTGTAAACTCCACACTGACAGTCGCCTGAGGGTGGAATCCAACCTGGGTCCCTGGCGCTGTGAGGCAGCAGGGCTAACTACTGAGCCACTGTGCTGCCCACTTGGAGGGACAAGGATTAAGCAAGGATAGTCAGCATGGCTTTGTATGATGGAAGATCATGTTTAACAAGTTAGAACTTTGAGGAGTGAATGAGGTAGTGCAATGAAGTAGTGTATCTGGACTTTAGTAAGGCTTTGACAAGGTCTTCTCTGGGAGATTGATCAAGAAGCTAACGCCCATGGGATCCAAGGCAATTTGGCAAATTGGATCCACAATTGTCTGAGTGGTAGGAAGCAAGGGTGATAGTTGAGGGGTGTTTTTGTGACTGGAAGCCTGTGTCCAGGGGGATTCCACATGGTTCGTTGCTGGGTCCCTCATTGTTTGCAATGAACTTAATGACCTACTCACAAGTGCACGAGAGTTAATCAGTAAGTTCACGGATGGCGTGGAAATTAATGGTGTGGTAAATAGTGAAGAGGAAAGCCTTTGGCTCCAGGACAGTGAAGATGAGTTGATCAGTGGGCTGGGTTATGACTGGTCATTGGGCTGGATAATTGGGTAGGGTCAGTGGCTGGTCAATGGGCGGGGTCAGTAACTGGTCAGGGGGAAATGGAATTTAATCCTGAAAAGTATAAGGTCATGCATTTTGGGAGTACTGATGGGGTAAGAGAGTACATCATGAATGGTAGAACCCCAGGAGGTACGGAAGGTCAGAGAGACCTCAGTGTGCACATCAATAAATCCTTGAAGACAGTAGGACAGGTCGATAGGTAGTTAAGAAAGCATATGGGACACTCGCCTTTATTGGTGACTGTATTGAATGTAGAGCAAAGAGGATATGATGGAGCTGTATATAACAGTAGTTAGGCTGCAGCTGGAGGACTGTGTGCAGTTCTGGTCCCAGCACTCTCAGAAGGATGTGATTGCCCTGGAGGGAGTGCAGAGGCAATTCACCAGGGTTTTGCCTGGAATGGAGCAGTTTGACTATGCGGAGAGGCTGGATAAGCTCAGGTTGCTTTCTTTGGAGCAGAGGAGGCTGAGGAAGGACCTGATTGAAGTGGACAAAGTTCTGAGTGGCGTGGAAGTTTGGATAAGAGGGATGTTAGAGGGGTCGATGACCGGGCTAGATTTAACATAAAGGATAGGAGATTTAGAGGGGATGTCTAGACAGTTTCTTTTGACCCTCTTGATGGTGGGAATTTGCTTCCTGAAAGGCCAGTAAAGGTAGAAACCATCACAATATTTCAGAAGGGTTTAGATGAATATTTGAAATACCATAGCATTCAAAACTATGGGCCACATACTGAAAAATGTACAGTGTAGATAGGTGCTTGATGAGCAATGTGGACACATTGGGCATAAGGGCGTTGCTCCATGCTATAAACCTCTAATTAACTGTATCCCACTGTGCTGCCAGTGGGACAGGACATATCCAGGGATGGTGATAGTGGTTTCTGGGACATGTCTGTAAGGTATGAGTAGGACTGTGTCTGGCTGTTACTTGACTGGTCTATGACACAGCTGTCCCAATTTTGGCACTAACCGCCCCGATGTTAGTGAAGAAGTCTTCGCAGGGTTGACGGGGCTGTTTCTGCCTTTGTCTTTTCCAATACCAGGTGATCCGTTTGGTTTCACTCCTTTGTTAAGACTTTGTAGTGATTGATGAAACTTGTGGCTTCCTGGAACATTTCAGAGTTGACCACATCACTTTGGATTCGAAGTCACATGTGGCCCAGCCCAGGTAGGAACATAAGTGATCCAGATGGGGTTTAACAAAATTTGAGAGCGCTTTCATGGTAATCTTTGGACTTCTGATTCCAGATTTTTTGTTTTTTTGTTTCACATTCCACTCTGTGCTGTGGTGAGATTCAATCCCAGGATCCATCTGGGGTATTAGTCCAGCAATAATATCACTAGACCCTCACCTTCCTTGTAAAATCTCCTCAGGCCATGTGCCTTACAAAGAAAGTATCAGTGTGAATCAGGGAGATTGAAAATGTGTTGTGTCACCCCAGAGTGGGACCTGGTGTATACAGAATTATGTATCCATTGGACTTTCTGTCATTTCTGATTTGATATATTTTTTCCTCTGGCCATGTAGCTGAAATGGAATGGGTTTTGGAAATATTAAGTCTATTCCAATTGTACTGTCTGCAAAATGCTGTATGGCCTCACAGGGATAGCATGCTGGATATCAAGACCCATTACTCCTGCTGTAGCGACAAATATAACAAATCAATGAAACACCAAAATCCCCAAATTGTCTCTAACTGCTGCCAGGAATCAATGGAAACCACAACAGGTTTTTTCAGTTAACAAAATAACTGTATTTATAGTAACACGGTTAAACAAAACAGTAAAAAAGGAGAGGTTTTGTAATTTATGCATCTTACACTTTGCCCCCTTCGAAATTCCCTGCACACGTGCACAAACTCCGAGAAAAATGAACAAAATGCAAATATTATGTGTGAAGGAAATAAAAATGTCAGGACCACAGTGCTGTGTTCCCATTCCAAATCCCAAACTGAGGGCTTAGTTTCACCAGCTTTTCAGTTCTTCATTGATGCCTTAATGTTATTTGTGCAGCAATGTTGAATCTATAGCTGACTGGTTGATTGGTTGGACCTGAGGTCTTTCTTTCTGCTTTGGGTTTTGGAGTTACTTTTTTTCAGTGTCTCTGAAGTTTTCTTGCTTTCCTCACTCAGAATAAGAGAGAGCAACTTCGTAGGGAAAGAGTTTGGAGAGAGATCAATGCAGAGAGCTTCTGTGATTCCTTGCTTCTCTGTTTCTGTTTCCATTTCCCTCTATGCAGCCTGAGCAATCAGAGGGTTGTTACTGTGCTGATCTCTCCTGAACCCACAGCAAATAGTACCATAAGTTGTAGACTCAAATGTCTCACATGCCTCAGTTGGAGCTTCACTGGATTTTCAAAAGCCGCAAACATCCTGCATATTCTCCCCTTTTTAAAGCATTGTCCATTTTATTCATTTTCAGACTACAGTCCAGAAAAAAGCCATGGCCGCACTGTCGAGGGGCCAGTCAGTTGGGCACAGAGCTTGGTGAGTTGGTGTTAATTCTCTGTTCTGTAATCGATGTTCTCTTGTCAGTGGGATCTCCCTGTGCACTGCCCTGGCACGGACTGGATGCCATCTGTTGCAATATTCACTGCTCAGGCACCGAGGGCCCACCTAAAATAAATGAGGTAAATTTTTATATGCAGATGGGATTGCAGCAATACAAAAGCTCAGGAGAGGGAAGATATTGAGATAATTTGCATAATTAAAATTCATAATAGCTCCTTTTAATGTCAGGGAGATGGGAATAACATGAAAATCACTTTGTACAGCTGCAGAAATGTTGGGCTTAGCTCTTCAGCTCGAATCAGATGTGTTAAGTCAGACTCAAAAAATACAGTGTTTTTCTGAAGTTAAACAAATATTCATTTCATGTTTAAAAATAGATAAGCTAATTAAAAATTAAACAAATTATAGAGGAGAACGAGTTTAAAGTATTTGAGCTAGAGAGAGACACACACACAAAGCCATGGAGAGAGAAAGGGAGAGAAAGAGAAAGAGAGCAAGAGGTGGATAAAGAGAGGGACAAAGGGAGGGGAAGGACAGAGAGGGGGACAAAGAGAGAGAGAGAGAGGATGGAGTGGAAAAGGAAGGGGGACAGCGAAAGGCAGGGGGACAGAGAGAGAGGTGTGGGCGACCGAGAAAGAGGGACGAGAGGGAGAGCACGAGAGGGACGGGGGGTTAAGACAAGGGGGTTGACAGAGAGGGAGGGACAGCAGGTGGGAGAGAGAGAGAGGGAGGGGGGGAACGGAGGGATGGACAGACGGGGGTGGTGGGAACAGAGATACAGGGGTATAGAGAAAGAGAGAGACAGAGAGAGAGAGACAGAAAGAAAATGACAGTGGATGAGATGGAGAGTGAGACACAGAAGTAGAGAGGGAGAGACCGTGAGTGAGAGAGGTGGAGAGTGACAGAGGGAGAGAAATTTTAATGTTGCAGTGAGGGACAAAGTCTGAAAGAGAAAGACGGAAAGAGAGAGTGCGTGATTTTGCTCATTTGGGAGAGACGGGTATCGCTGGCAAAGCCAGTGCATATGGTGACGCTGAGTCACCTTGTACTGCTGCAGTGAGGGTAGCATGGGCATAGAATGTACTCTCAGTGGGGGATTTCAATGTCCACCAGGACTGGCTCAGTGGCAGTAGTACTGATCAAGGTGGTTGGGTCCTAAAGGACATAGCTGCCAGATTGGGTCTGCAACAGCTGGTGAGGGAACTAACAAGAGGGAAAAACGTACTTGACCTCATCCTCGCCAGTCTGCTGGCTGCAGATGTATCTGTTGATAACATTATAGGTAAGTGTGACCATTGCACAGTCCTTGTGGAGATAAAGTCCCGTCTTCACATTGAGAATACCCCACCATGTTAAATGGGACAGACTTTGAACAGACCTAGCAACTGAAGACTGGGTATCCATGAGGCGTTGTGGGCCATCAACAGCAGCAGAATTGTACTCCAGCACAATCTGAAACCTTATGGCCTGGCATATACCCCATTCGGAACCCAAGAAAGTTCGATTTGAGTCTTTTCTAACTGTGGAGAAGTGGTGAGGATTAGGGATCCATCCACAGCAGTCACTAAAGACCAAGCAGACAGGTAGAAACCAAAATTAGAAAGGTGTTTTCTCTAGTGCAGCAGGTGAAGATGTGAGATTGAGTCAAGATGGTTAAGATAATGGGAGAATTTGATGGCCTTGATTGAAAGAATCATTTCCGTCTGGTAGGAGTCACTGGGGAGTCTGGGGGTGTGGAGAACTGAGGAGGAAACGAGGTCAGGAAGCAAAGAGGGATCCCAGTCTTGAAAAGCGCTGAAAGCTGATTCTACGATGATACTGAAAGGGCATTGAATGAATTGTTGAAGAGCTGACATTTACAGGGCTACAGGGGATGAACAGTGGGGAATGAGATTAACTTGATAAATCTTACGGAGAGACTAGTGAAACTGAATGGCCTCCTTCTGGGCTGTACTCATTCTGTAATGCTAGCTAACTCGATGCGCTGAATGGTTCCCTCCTGTTTGCTGCCGTTGGGATTTGGCTGTGCTGGTTCTCGGTAAGAGCTGCACTCCCTGCTCTACGCTGACTGAATCAGACAGTGTCACTGCAGCATTAACTCGGAAAGCTGCAACTGCACTGAGTTTGACAGCTATATTTAAATATCTTTGATTTCTCACAATCCCTTACGTCGTCTAAATTTCTTGCCAGTGTTGAGCAACCAAATTAGATTTTCGTAATGCTTTATTTTTAAAAAGTGAAGAGTGAGACAGAGAATCTGAAATGGAGGTCGATAACAGGAAGGAGATAATTAAGTCGATGTGAAGAATCTTTTCGGAAAAGCGGCTGTTATTGAGGTTTTGATTTCTAGAGATTAGAAGCTGCAGAGGGACTGGGAATAATTCCTGGAGCTAATGTCAGGTGACTCAGTCATTAGGCTCATAATCCAGACAAGACAGGGTTAGCACCACTCCCTCATTGAGGTGGGGATATCAGTAAATTCTGTCCAAGCATTGAAATCCCATGTAAGCTGTTTGAGAATTTCCGTTCAATTTTTAAAATGTGGACATTACATTTATGTAGCACCTTGACTTCAGGATGCCGCGATGCACTGCACTGAGGTGTGGTCACTTTTATAAAATATAATTCTTTCGGGCATGTGGGCATTGGTTGAACTGAGTGTCTTCCTGGGCCATTTCCAAAGGCAGTTAAGAGTCAACCACATTGCTATGGGTCTGGAGTCACATGTAGGCCAGACTGGGTAAGGATGGCAGCTTCCTTCCTGAAGGTGTTGCAATGTAGACGTTTTAGCAGCTAACATTTTGCAAGGTGACATAGAGGATAGGGGCAGCAGGAGGCTATCCAGCCCTTCGAGCCTGCTCCGCCATTAAAAATATGATTAAAGCTGATCATCGACCTCAGTCCCCTGTTCTTGCTTACTCCTCAAGAACCATAGAACATGGAACAGTACAGCATGGTACAGGCCCTTCGGCCCACGATGTTGTGCCGAACTTTTACCCGAAACCTAAGGTCTATCTAACCTCCACCGCTACCTTATACTATCATCCATATGCCTATCTAATAGCCGCTTAAATGCCCCTAATGAGGCCGACTCCACTATCCTCTCTGGCAATGCATTCCACGCCCCTACCACTCTCTGAGTAAAGAACCTACCTCTGACATCTTCCCGATATCTACCTCCTTTCACTTTAAAACTATGTCCCCACGTAAAAGCTACCTCCACCCTAGGAAAAAGTCTCTGGCTGTCTACTCTATCTATACCTCTGATCATTTTGTACACCTCTATCAAGTCACCGCTCATCCTTCGTCGTTCGAAAGAGAAAAGCCCTAGCTCTCTCAACCTTTCCTCGTAAGACCTTCCCTCCATTCCAGGCAACATCCTGGTAAATCTCCTCTGCACCTTTTCCAACGCCTCCACATCTTTCCTGTAATGAGGTGACCAGAACTGGACACAGTACTCCAGATGTGGCCGAACCAGAGTTTTGTATAGCTCGAGCATAACTTCACGGCTCTTGAACTCAATCCCTCTATTAATGAAAGCTAACACACCATACGCCTTCTTAACAACTCTATCCACCTGGGTGACAGCTTTCAGGGAACTGTGAACATGAACCCCAAGATCCCTCTGCTCCTCCACACTGCCAAGAATCTTTCCGTTAACCCTGCATTCTGCTTTCAAGTTTGTCCTTCCAAAATGAATCCCCTCACACTTTTCAGGGTTAAACTCCATCTGCCACTTCTCAGCCCAGCTCTGCATTCTATCAATGTCCCTTTGTAACCTAGAACAGCCCTCCGCACTGTCCACAACGTGACCCACCTTCGTATCGTCTGCGAACTTGCTAATCCACCCTTCCACTCCTTCATCCAAATCATTTACAAAAATCACAACTAGAAGAGGACCCAGAACAGATCCTTGTGGTACACCACTCGTAACTGAGCACCATGTTGAATATTTTCTGTCCACTACCACCCTTTGTCTTCTAAGGGTCAGCCAATTCTGAATTCAATCTGCCACATTTCCCCCTATCCCATGCCTCTTTACCTTCTGCATGAGCCTACCATGGGGAGCCTTATCAAACGCCTTACTTAAATCCATGTATACCACATCCACTGCTCCACCTTTATCCACATGTTTGGTCACCTCATCAAAGAATTCAGTAAGATTTGTGAGGCATGATCTACCTCTCACAAATCCATGCTGACTATCACGAATCAAACTGTGCCTTTCCAAGTGATCATAAATCTTGTCTCTCAGAGCCCTTTCCAATAATTTGCCCACCACTGACGTAAGACTAACGAAATCCAGACTAACCAGATTCTTTAGCCCCATGAACTAGATCTAACTCCTCCTTGAAAACATTCAACATTTTGGGCTCAGTTGCTTTCTATGGCAGAGAATTCCACAGGCTGCCATTCTCTGGGTGAAGATATTTCTCCTCATCTCAGTCCTAAATGGCTTTAGACTATGATCCCTGTTTCTGGACTGCCCGCTTATCGGGCACATTCTGCCTGCATTTACCCTCTCCAGTCCTGTTAGACTTTTATCAGTTTCTGTGAGGTCCGTGTCTCATTTTTCCCTGTTTGATAATCTCCTGAATCGTGAACAAGTCTTGAGCCACGTTCCGAGTGGGCTTCCCTGAGAAATTTGTGGCCTCCTTTTCCCTGCAGACAGCCCCTGGATGAAGGTAATTGGCAGTTTGGAGGAGGGCCAATGTTTCTGTCTCAGAAAGTCACTAGAAGCAGGTTCAGGGATAATTTTCAAAAGAGATTTGGAGAAATGGCTGAAGATGGACGATATGTAGAGCCATGTGGTAACAGCAGGTCAGCATGGAACTGATTGGAAAATTCTTACAAAGAACCAGCACAAGCATGATGGGTGGAATGGCCTCCTGTCATGCTATCAGACTGCACTGTGGGAATTTGGTGCAGAAGTACGCCATTTGGCCCCTTTAACTAGGTCATGCCTGATCTCAACACCATCTTCCTGCACCATCCCCAATTTCATGGTTTTTGTTTTAAATCTGGGCAGTGATTGAGCTTAAACAGCTCAATCTGGTTTGGAGAATTCCAAAGATTCACCTTTCTCTGAGGGAAGGAATTCCTCCTTGTCTCAATCTTCAATGGCCTGCTCCTCACTCTGACAGTGTAACCCTCTGAAGCACAGAGTCCAGCATCAGGCAGAGATCAATCCCATAGGGAGTTAGAAGGAGTGGATGTCTCCTTCAGAGAAACGTCTTAAAAATATCCAATGCCAGCTCCTGTCCATCTCCTCCCTCCCCACCCCGGCACAAGCCCCCCTCTCTGAGGGACCACAGAGGCAGCAGGGTGTCCTGGTCAATCACTCCTCACTCCCCCTGACCCTGTCACACCCTCCCCCCAACCTCCCTCACTGCTCCCCACCTTCCCTCACTGTTCCCCACCCTTCCTCACTACACCCCACCCTCCACACTCCTTTGCTCCCCCCCACCCACCCAGTCCTGACGATTCCTTTGAAAGTGGCCCATGCCTCTCTGGGCTCAACATTAACTGCCTCAGACCATTTGAGCCGTCAGAAACAGCAGCCAATCTCACAGCCCAAGGTAAAGGAAGGCTGCATGAATAATTAATCATAAATCCATAAATTATGAAGCTGAATTTTATGCTTTGTAACCCTTGGTAATAGTTTAGATCAGTGGTGAAGATTTATATCACAGGTAGCACAAAGTGTGAACATGTAACATTGGGCTGCATGTGATTGGCTTCAGTCCCGGCATCTGTCAAACTGATTCATCCTTCAGACCCGACTACACCCTCTGTGTGAAGGTGCAATCCTTCAGTTTGAACTTTTCCATTAAACAGTCCCAGGACATGGACAGCATGAGGTCAGATACAGAGTGAAGCTGCTTCTACGCTGTCCCTACCAAATACTCCCAGGAATGGGACAGCACAGGGTTTGATGTAGAGTAAAGCTTTCTCTACACTGGCCCCAATCAAACACTCCCTGAACAAGGACGGCATTGTGTTAGATACAGAGTAAAAATCCCAGTGCCACAAGTTCCTTTTTCTGAGACAAAAACAGAAATGCTGGAGAAACTCAGCAGGTCTGACAGCATCTGTGGAGAGAGAAATAGAGTATAACATTTCGGGTCTGAGTGATTCTTGTTCAGAACAGAGGTCTGAAGTTCTGAGTTCTGAAGAAGGGTCACTAGACTCAAAACGTTAGCTGTTCCTCTCTCTACAGTAGCTGCCAGACCTACTGTGTTTCTCCAGCATTTCGGTTTTTGTTTAAATTTCCAACATCCTTTAGCCTCTCCCTTTGATTTACTGCTTGCTGCTTGTCACTGTTAAAATACTCTGCAGTGGTATTCTGAATCTAATTTGACATATTATTAACTGAAACTATACTTTTGAGAGGTCTTTGGATGCTGTGGTGTGAGATGCATTAATTCTCGATGCATTATTGATCAGGTTATATTCTGCTGCCTGCTCCCTTTATATCACGAAACAGTGGGGAGTTTGAGATTAATTAATCTTGCTGAGAACACAAAAGTAATTAAGAGCAAAAACTATAAACTCTCCTGGAGCAGGAACTCACTGTCACGCACTGATCATAATCCCCACTTTCTGACTGGGCATCCTCCTGTCACACCGTGGCGAACTGGCAGCCATTCTATGCACAGCATGATCCCACAGTGAAAGCTAGTATAATACACAAGGCAAGGTCACATGGGGTAATTTTGTTAGTTGGTAAATCCTCTGTGCAAGCTAACAGGAAGCACAGAGTCAGGATTAATGGGTCTTTTTCTGGTTGGCAAGCTATAACTAATGGGGTGCCACAGGGTTAGGTCCTCAGGCATCTACTATTTAAAATCGATGTAATGACTTGGATATGGGGATAGAAAGGACCCTCTTGTGGCACAGTGGTAGTATCTTTACTCTTGAACCAGGAGGCCTGGCCCAAGTCCCATCTGTTCCAGAGGTGTTTAATAACCTCTCTGAACAAGTTGATTAGAAAAATAGAAAGTACTATAACCACATTTGCAGATGGCACTAAAATATATGGGAAAGTAAGTTGCAATGAAGGACTTTACAAATCGATATGGATGCGTTAGGTGAATGGGCCAAACTTTGGTGGGTATAGTTTAATGTGGATAAGTAGGAAGTTATCTATTTTGGTCAGAGGAATAGAAAGTCAACTTATTATCTAAATGAAGAGAAATTTGAGTGTTTCAGTGCAGAGGGATCTGGGTGTCCTTGTGCATGAATCACTGAAAACTGCTATGTAGATACAGCAGGTAATAAGGAAATTTGGTATTTATTGCTAAAGGAATAGAGTATAGAAGTAGGTGGATACTGAAACATTGAATCAATTTAAGGAGGAGATAGATTTTTAATTAGTAATGGGTGAAGGGTTATGGGGAACAGGGCAGGAAGGTGCAGTTGAGGCCGAGATGAGATGAGCCATGTACGTGTTAAACAGTGGAGCAGGTTTGAGGGGTTGAATGGCCTCCTTCTGGTTCTGGTGTTGTAAGGGGTTAATAGCTATATGCTAATAAACAGCATCATCAGTGACACCAGATCACATGGCAGTGGCATCTGAGTGCAGAACCTTCCAGGAATGTCCAGTTTGACCTTGTCCTGCAGCAACGTCATAAATAAATGCAGAGTCTTGCAGTCCTCACCTGTCCAAGCCTGCCAAGACCTTCTTGTGACATTTTCACACAAACAACAAACGTCAACTCCATTGTACCCTCGAACTAGTCCAACGTTCTGAGCATAAATCAGGCACAGACTGGACTTGAGGAAATATTCCAAGAAGTGACCAAAGAGGCATGTTTTTAAGGAGCCTGTAACCGGGAGGGAGGAATAGAGGAGTGAAGAGATTGAGGGAGGAAATCCCAGAGCTTAGAGCCCAGGAAGCTGAAGCTATGGCCCTCACTTGGGGGTGTTGTGAACGGAGTGGGAAATGATTCTGATTGAGGGATCCCTTTGGGGTCCAGAACACTAGGCTGCATCAGACTGCACAGTGCACACACTGATCCGCTCTCCTTCCAGCTTGGACAAAGGGATCTTTTACATTATATGAGCAGAATGCCAGTGGAACAGTGTCGTCTGCCCCGACAGCCCCGGACACACCTGCTCCTTCTGTCACTGCATCACACATCAGATCAGTCCTCCTGGGAGTCAACCCAAGGCAAGTGATAGAACATAGAACATTACAGCGCAGTACAGGCCCTTCGGCCCTCGATGTTGCGCTGACCTGTGAAACTAATCTGAAGCCTATCTAACCTAAACTATTCCATTATCATCCATACGTTTATCCAATGACCATTTAAATGCCCTTGAAGTTGGCGAGTCTACTACTTTTGCAGGCAGGGCATTCCACGCCCTTACTACTCTCTGAGTAAAGAACCTACCTCTGACATCTGTCCTATATCTATCACCCCTCAATTTAAAGCTATGTTCCCTTGTGCTAGCCACCACCATCCGAGGAAAAAGGCTCCCACTGTCCACCCTATCTAATCCTCTGATCATCTTGTATGTCTCTATTAAGTCACTTCTTAACCTTCTTCTCTCTAACGAAAACAGCCTCAAGTCCCTCAGCCTTTCCTCATAAGACCTTCCCTCCATACCAGGCAACATCCTGGTAAATCTCCTCTGCACCCTTTCCAATGCTTCCATATCCTTCCTATAATGCGGTGACCAGAACTGTACGCAATACTCCAAGTGCGGCCGCACCAGAGTTTTGTACAGCTGCAACATGACCTCATGGGCCCGGACAGAGTCCCTGGCCATTCACCGACATCTTCAACCTCTCCTTCCTACAAGCCGAAGTCCCCACCTGCACCAAGAAGACCACTCATCCTCGTAACTAAGAAAACACATGCAGTGTGCCTTAATGACTACTGCCCAGTGGCTCTGACCTCCATAATCATGAAGTGCTTCAAGAGGTTGGTCATGGCCAACATTAACTCCAGTCTCCCTACTTGCCTTGATTCCCTACAGTTTGCCTACCGACATAACAGATCCGAAGCGAACGACATTTCCCTAGCCCTGCACTCATCCCTGGAACATCTGGAGAACAAGGACACCAATGTCAGTCTTGTACTCATCAACTACAGCTCTGCCTTCAACACCATTATCCCCTCCAGACTGATCTCAAAACTCAATGACGTTGGTCTGTGCTCTGCGCTCTGTAACTGGATCCTCAGATTTCTGACCCACAGACCGCAATCAGGTGAGGATAGGTAACTGCACCTCCTCCATAATAACACTCAACACTGGAGCCCCCCATGGATGCATCCTCAGCTCCCTACTGTACTAGATAAGGGCTTGGTGACGTGGTGCAACTATAACTGCTTTTCTCTCAATATTGGCAAAACAAAACTGATCATTGACTTCAGGAAGAGAGCACGTCCCCATCTACATCAACTGAATGGAGATTGAGAGGTTTGAGACCATCAAGTTCCTTGGAGTGGCGATAACCAACAATCTGGCCTGGACTTGCCACATAGATGCGATGGTCAAGAAGGCACAATAATGCCTCTTCTTCAGGTGGCTTAAGAAATTTGGCCATGTACATAAGGACCCTCACCAGCTTTTACAGATGCACCATTGAAAGCACACTGTCCAGGTGCATAATGGCCTGGAATGGCAACTGCTCTGCCCAGGACCGTAAGAAACTACGGAAGGTGGTGTGCACAGCCCAGACCATCAGGGAAGCCAACCTTCCATCCATGGACTCCATTTACACGGCTCACTGCCACGGAAAGGCTGCCAACATCATCAAAGGCCCCCATCCCAACCTGGTAATGCTGTCTTCTGCCAGGCAGAAGATACAGAAGCTTGAACACACGCACCAGCAGGTTCAGGAACAGCTTCTTCCCTACCGTTATTAGACTGATGAATGGACATTCAAACTTCAGATAATGCTGACCTTGTTAATGTTGATCATGCCTAGCACACATCCTGTGCAGTGTAACCTGTATGCCTTACTCTGTCCAAGTATTTTTTTTCACCCTATGGTCTGGATGTCCTTGCTTACTATGATCTGCGTTTGCTGCCCGCAAGCAAAGCTTTTCACTGTACTAAGGTATATGTGACAATTAATCACTTCAATCGATCAATATTTGAGCCTGAAGCCTGCGCCTCATCCAAAAGCTGGCACTTGTAATAGTGCAGCAATCCCTGAGTACTGATGTTCAGCCTGAGTATCACTGAGCATCAGCTCAGTGCTTTTTGTGGGATCTTGCTGTACACAAGTCAACAGCACATACCCTCCATGATAACAGTGACTACATGCTGAAAGCAGTTTGTTGATCATAATCTAACTGAGAATGAATAAAGATGCTGAAGGATGCTATAGAAATACAGATTGTTTCTGTGGTTTTGTTGCAAATTCTGCTACTCGGTGGGTTTGACAGGAATGAGTAAGTTTGTTTTCCTGGCAAATGGTGCCTAATTAATATGCTGCAGAGGGCCATATGGCAGCTCCTCAAATTCTCTTTGAGAGAATGCAGCAGGAAGTGAGGGTTTAGGAAGGACTGCACTGTTGAGTGACGAGTGACATCTGAGAGCTTTCTGAAATTATTTTTTAAGCAGGAATGGGTCCTTTTCTGAATTTTTCACTTTTCCTCACTGTGTGCTCACCTCTGTTGTCTCTCTGTTTTCTATCTGTCACCCGCTCTACAACTGTGCTCCATTTTCTCTCTCCGATCTATCACTTTGCCAGTGTGTTGTTTGGTGTCTTGCTCTCGATCATTTTTTCCCTTTGTCAAATATAAAATAGAAACAATGGGCTGAAGAGCCCAGTCTGTGCTGTGCGATTCTTTGATCTGAGTGAGTGCCTATTGCATCAATGCATGGGATAGAGACACATAACAAACATTCAGACAAAGAGCTGACCCCCTCAGGTCTGCTCCACCATCCAATGCAATCACGGCTGATCTAATTGCAATCTCAAATCCACATCCCTGCCCGCCCTGATAACCTTTCATTCCCTTGCTTGACACACTCTTTCTCTGCCTTTAAAAATATTTAAACAATCTGCTTCTACTACCTTTTCAGGACTAGAGTTTGAAAAACTCACAATTGTCTAAGAGAGAAAAATTCATCTCATTTAAATGGTGACCCGTTATTTTTATAAAGTGATTCCACATTCCAGATTCTCCCACAAACCACCTCTTACTGTCTGAAACCCCAGCAGATACAAACCTAGTCTGACCAACACTTCCCAGCATATTGACAGTGGGGGGGGTCAGTCATGGTAACACCATTGAAAATCAAGGGACGGTGGTTAGATCATCTCTTGTTGGTGATGGTCATAGCCCAACATTTGTGTGGCGAGAATGTCACTTGCCACTTGTCAGCCCAAGCCTGGATATTAAGCTAGATCTTGTTGCATGTGAACATGGACAGCTTCAGATTCTGAGGAGTCATGAATGGTGCTGAACATTGTGCAATCATCGGCGAACATCCCCACTTCTGACCTTATGATGGAGGGAAGGTCATTGATGAAGCAGCTGAAGATGGTTGGGCCTAGGACACTACCCTGAGGAACTCCTGAGATGACTGATCTCCAACAACCATGACCATCTTCCTATGTGTCAGGTAGACTCCAACCAGCAGAGAGTTTGCCTCTGATGCGCACTTGTTTGAATGCAGCTTTGATGTCAAGGGCTGTCACTCTCTTCTCACCTCTGGAATTCAGCTCTTTTGTCCATGTTTAAAACAAGGCTGTGAGGTGAGTGGCTCTGGCGGAACCCAAACTGGGCATCACTGAGCAGGTTATTTCTGAGCAGGGGCTGCTTGATAGCACGGTTGATGACACCTTCCATCCCTTTACTGATGATCGAGAGGAGACTGATGGGGTGGTAATTGGCCGGGTTGGATTTGTCCTGCCTTTTGTGTACAGGACATACTTGGGCAATTTTCCACATTGTCAGGTAGATACCATTGTTGTAACTGTATTGGAACAGCTTGGCTAGGGGAGCGGCAAGTTCTGGAGCACAAGTCTTCAGTACTTTTGCTGGAATGTTGTCAGGGCCCACAGCCTTTGCAGTATCCAGTGTCTCCAACCATTTCTTGATATCAATTGGAGTGAATTGAATTGGCTGAAGACTGGCATCCATGATGCTGGGGACCACTGGAGGAGGCCAAGGTGGATTATCCACTTGGCATTTCTGGCTGAAGATTGCTGTAAATGCTTCAGCCTTATCTTTTGCACTGATGTATTGGGCTGTTCCGTCATTGCAGATTGAGATATTTGTGGACCTTCCTCTTCCAGTGAGTTGTTTAATTGTCCACCCCCATTCATGACTGGATGTGGCAGGACTTCAGAGCTTAGATCTGATCCGTTGGTTGTGGGATCGCTTAGCTCTGTCTGTCACTTGCTTCTGCTGTTTGGCGTGCAAGTAGTCCTGTTTGGTACCTTCACCAGGTTGACACCTCATTTTTATGTAGGCCCCGTACTGCTCCTGGCATACCCTCCTGCACTTCCATATGAACATTGAGGATTTATCCTTCAGCTTTAAGAAATTTTCTTCAATCAATTTTACCAGACTTCTTATCTAATAACCAGACTCTAATATGGAGTGACTAAATCCAGTAGATTCATTTGGGAATCTCTGGAAGCAATTGTGGGAAATCTAATTCCTTATCTCAATCCTATGGGTATTTGTGACAATCTGACTTAGTCATGGTTTTGAGAATCTGAAGGTATCTCTCCAAACACCCTGTGTTTGTGAGTGATTCAAATTTAACTTCAGTTATTTTATACCCAATTAGCTAATGATTTTCTGGAAAACTTTAAGCATAAAGTTAAAACCTTGATCAGACTGTATTTCAGTTGACAGGCCATACCGAGGAAGTATTTGAGTGCATTTTGCCATGGCTACCCCAGCTTAAACATCGTTAAACAAACAGCTTCTCAAAGTTGGGTTGTCATTTCCATAATTGTCAGGATATACTGACATGGGGAATGGTCCGACACAATCCACCAACACTTAAGTTCTTCAAAACTGCTATGGGGTATCAGAGGTGCTGGTCTCATCATATCCGGAGGTTTTCCTACGACCTGACATGTTTTACAAAACTGCACTACATCTTTATGAATTCCTGACCATGTAAAATACCTGTTTATTGATGCCCTAAATTTTCTGTATTCCTGTATACACTGCCATAGGAACTGTATGTGCTAATTACAATATCTCTATATGATATCTGGGTGGTACCATTGTGGGTAGGCGATAGCTGATGTTCTGGGGACCCGAATCCCACCATGGCAGATGGCGGAATTGGAATTCAAAAAAAATGTCTGGAATTAAGAATCTACTAATCACCATGAAATCATTGTCGATTGTCAGAAAAACCCATCTGGTTCACTAATGTCCTTCAGGAGAGGAAGTCTGCCACCCTCACCTGGTCTGGCCTACGTGTGACTCCAGACCCACAGCAATGTGGTTGACTCTCAACTGCCCTCTGAAATGGCCGAGCAAGCCACTCAGATGTACCAATTGCTTCAAAGACTCAAAGAAATGGAACTGGATGGATTACCTGGCATCGACCTAGGCACCGGAAAAGACAACGGCAGAAACAGCCCTGTCGACCATACAAAGTCCTCCTCACTAACATCTGGGGGTTAGTGCCAAAGTTGGGAGAGCTGTCTCACCAACTAGTCAAGCAACAGCCTGACATAGTCGTACTCACAGAATCATACCTTACAGGCAATGTCCCAGACACCACCATAACATCCCTGGATATGTCCTGTCTCACCGGCAGGACAGACCCAGCAGAAGGGGTGACACAGTGGTATACAGTCGGGAGGGAGTTGCTCTGGGAGTCCTCAACATTGACTCTGGACCCCATGAAGTCTCATGGCTTCAGGTTAAATATGGGCAAGGAAACTTCCTGCTGATTACAACATACCGCCCTGCCTCAGCTGATGAATCAGTACTCCTCAATGTTGAACACCACTTAGAGGAAGCACTGAGGATGGCAAGGGCAGAAAATGTACTCTGGGTGGGGGATTTCAATGTCCACCACCAAGAGTGGTTCGGCAGCAGTACTACAGATCGAGCTGGTCGGATCCTAAAGGACATAGCTGCTAGACTGGTTCTGCGGCAGGTGGTGAGGGAACCAACAAGAGGGAAAAACATACTTGACCTCATCCTTACTAATCTGCCAGCTGCAGTTGCAACTGTCCATGACAGTATCGGTAAGAGTGACCATCGCACAGTCCTTGTGGAGAGAAGTCCTGCCTTCACATTGAGAACA